ATGAAAGCCCCTTTGAAAGGTCTTGAGGAGGATTGCTCCACACATGCACGATAGACACAAAATATGGCCAAAGGGGCTCTGGACAGAGTTAAGGCAGACCTAAAAACTCACAAATAATGGCCTGAAGCAAGACTTCAAAGCATGCAAAATGGGGGTCCTTTGGAAGGCCAAAAAAGTAAGTAAACAAGACAATAAGGAGAGGGGATGGCCCTATCCTTCTTAGAACCTCAAAACACCATCCCCACCACTTTCAGTGGTGAGAGGGCCAAACAAGGTGGTCCCGAAGCTCACAAAAAAGGATCAAAAACAAGGCCAAACCAGGCCTAAGAGGGGGTAAACCACCCCAAACGAAAAAGTGATCTGAAACAAACTTCAAAAGGAGCTCAAAATAAGACTTTTTTCAGTTTATGACAAAGCTCGAAAATGCTTACAAGTAAGGCTAAAATATGAAGCAAAATAAAGACCAAAATAGGGTAAAGTGTGTTACCCTTGTAGCCAAAAGGGGACAGCGGCTTCTTGGTCCAGAAAACCAGTCCCTTAGTCTCTGAAAACGGCCTCCAAGATTCTTAGAGTGATGGTGGAGGTGTTAGGATAGGAGGTGGTGTGTAATGGAGCCAAGAACTAAGCACTTTGAAGCTAAAATGTAGAGATATAGGGAGAGATATATCTCTTGTGCCTTAGACAAAAGTGTTGGAACACTTGCAATGGAAGAGGAGCTCTTCTTTTATAGAGGAAGAAGGGTCCAAGCTTCTCTTAGAAGCTTGGAGCAAAAAGGGCCAAGAAGACCAAGCTTCTTGGAGAAGCTAGACAAAAGGGCCAAGCTTCTTGGAGAAGCTAGACAAAAGGGTTCAAGCTTCTTGGAGAAGCTAGAACAAAGATTCAAAAGGTTCAAGCTTCCTCAAGAAGCTAAACCAAGGATTCAAAAGGTTCAAGCTTCCTCAAGAAGCTAAGACCAAGGGTTCAAAGGGTTCAAGCTTCTCAAGAAGCTAGAACCAAGGGTTTAAAAGGTTCAAGCTTCCTCAAGAAGCTAAAACAAGGGTTCAAAAGGTTCAAACCCCCTCAAGAAAGGTCTCGGCCAGAAAAAAGTGCCGATTGACCAAAATCAATGGTCGGCCGACCAAACACAATGCCGACCGACCATCAATAGTGCGACCGGCCATCACCAATGGCCGGTGGCAAGGAAACAAGGCCGGGCCTCAAGCCATGGTCGACGAGGTGTGGGGATGGCCTACAAGCTATTTCCCACCCTCAGAAGCAAAACAACAAGGTTTGATGCAAAACCAAACACAAAACAAACAAGTCGAGAGGTCTTTAGGTAAGGCGCGTTAGCCGAAACCTCCGAGAACTCAAGACGAACACAAACAAGGGTAATCATCGAGTGTTCAAACGATGACGTCCAAGTCTTAAGGACGGTCAAAAATGGGGTGTCTACACCTCTTGGCAAGTCTAAGTTAAACGTCTTGATTCCTCTTTGGAACATTGGCTTAAGACTTTCTAACAATTATTAAGTAACAACATTTTGTAAAGAACAAAATCGAACTAGAATCTTATTAGTCAATACTTCGGCTAAAAATGGTCTAAATTACATAGAGAAGAAAAAAAAATATGAAAAAGAACTATAGATTACTAGTATCTTCCATGGCCTTAGCAACTCTTTGACATCATTGTCTTCCAGCCAGTATGCACCATTGCCAGCAACCGAGATGATCCTGATGGGCCTTCCCAGTTTGGGCCAAGCTTACCTTCTCTGGTATCCTTCTTGTTGCCGATCACCTTCTTCAAGACGAGGTCGTCGATTTGGAATTCCCGAGGGTTCACCCTCTTGTTATATGATCTGGCCAGTCTATGTTGGTATGCCCACAGTCGAATTGCTGCTCTTTTTCTCCTTTCTTCAATCAAATCCAGATCTTGGGCAAGTAATGCCTCATTCGTCCTATTCTCTACTCCCTGAGTTCTGACTCCAGGAATGCCAATCTCAAGTGGTATAATGGCCTTAGCTCCATAAGCCATTAGTTATGGCAAAGGGTGATTCTCTAATTGATCTTCTCAGCGTAGTACGATATGCCCATAGAACATTAGGCAACTCTTCCACCCACTTGCCCTTGGTAGCTTCCAATCTCCTCTTTATTCCATCCAAGATGGTCTTGTTAGAGGCCTCGACTTGGCCATTGCTTTGTGCGAAGCTAGGAGTTGAGTAATAGTTCTTGATTTTATACTTCGCACAGAAGTTCTTGATCAACTTGCTATCAAACTGGGTACCATTATCTGCCATAATGGCTCTTAGAATCCCGAATCTAGTGATGATGTTCTTCCAGATGAAATTTCTCACATCCATATCTTAGATTTTGGCCAAAGGTTCAGCCTCCACCCACTTCATGAAGTAGTCTGTTGCTACTAGCAAGAACCTTATTTTTCCAGTTGCCTTAGGTAATTGCCCAATCAAATCCATGCCCTACTGGGCAAATGGCCAAGGACTGGATACTGGATTTAGGTGTATCAAAGGTGGAAACATTTGACACTTCTTGCATTTCTTGACATAAGCTTCTGTATCTTTCTGCATGTAGAGCCACCAGTGCCCCTGTGATATGGCTCTGTACGCAAGAGATCTGCCCCCTGCATGGCTTCTACAAACTCCTTCATGGATCGTATATAAGAAGTCTTCCACCTAGGAAGGATGCACACATCGCAATAAGGGTCTAGTAAAGGACCTTCTGTATAGGTGGCATTCTGCCAATAAGCAGAATCCTACTGACCATAGTTTGATCTTATGTGCCTCATTTTTGTCTTTTGGCAACTGGCCATCTCTGATAAACTTGACCAAGGCATCCATCTAGCTTGGGCCCAGCTCTATGCACATTGCCTCATATTTAGTTATCAGAGGTTCCACGCTTGAGCCTGACAGGTAGTCCACCATAAGCGTGCTCGGTGTGTCTGATTTTATGGCACTGGCAAGGTTGGCCAATGCATCCGCATGGTTATTGTCTTCTTAGCAGAACTGCTGAAGCCGATAACTTTAGAACTGTGCTAACAACTTAATAAACTCATATGGGCCACCATTCTATTATCTTGGGCTACGTGCTCTCCGATCGCTTGGTTCACGATGAGTTAGGAGTCACAGTATACTACCACTTCATTGGCTTCGACTGATGTTGTTAGTTTCAATCTGACAATCAATACCTCATATTCTGCTTCATTATTTGAGGCCTTGAACCCTAGTCAGATCGATTGTTCTATTATTTGTCCGTCTAGTGAGACCAACACCACTCATGCTCTCGCTCCTTTTTGATTTGAACTGCCATCGACAAAGAGGTGGAAGGACTTGCCTATGCAAATATCACAAGGCTTCAGCTTCTCTTGTTTTTACTTTTGTTCTGTTAGCTTGGGGTTCTCTGCTCCGACTCTTCTTCGCACCTTAGGCCGAGGTTCACGGGTCTTGGCTTTAGGGCTTGTGCTCGGTGTAAACTCAACAACAAAGTCGGCCAGAACCTGACCTTTGATTGCTGTCCTTGGATACTCTGTAAGCACTACAATTTTGTGGGCTTGAAGATAGTGGTTCAACTTTTTTGAAGCCATCACTAGAGTGAGTGTTAGTTTCTCCAAAGGCAGATACCTTATTTCCGCGTTTGCCAAAGTTCTGCTTACATAGTATACTGCCCTTTGTTATCATTCTTCTTCTTAGATGATCATGATGCTGACTGCATGGTTTGAGACTACCAAATACAAAAATAGTTCCTCTCATGCAACTGGGTTTGATAATACGGGTGGGGTTGTCAAATACCTCTTCAAATCAGCCAGGGCAACTTCATATACATCTGTCCATAGAAAATCTATGGCCTTGTTTAGTAGCTAAAAGAATGGTCTATACTTATCCAAACTCTGGTTGATGAATCTATTCAGCACGGTTACTTTTTTGGTCAAAATTTAGACCTCATTTGTTGTTGTCGGGCTCTTCAAATCAAGGATGGCTTTGATCTGATTGGGGCTTGCTTCAATTTCTCTCATGGTCACCAAATATCCCAAGAACTTACTAGACCCTACTTCGAAAGCACACTTGAACGCATTCAGACGAAGACAATATGCCTTCAAGATATTAAAAACTTCCTTCAGATCGGCTAGAAGATTGGAAGGTTCTTTACTCTTCACAACCATGTCGTCAATGTTGACTTCCATAGCCTTCCCAATCAGATGTTTACACATTTTGGTCACTAACCTCTGTACGTTGCCCCTACATTCTTCAATTCGAAGGGCATCACTCTATAGCAATAGAGTCCCTTTGGAGTGATGAATGTCGTATTCTCTTTATCTGCTGTGTGAATGGCTATCTGATGATAACCTCTGTATGCATCAGGGAAGCTCATTCTTCTATGTCCCGAGGTGGCATCCACGAGCTAGTCTATCTTTGGCAAAAAGAAACAGTCCTTCAGGCAAGCCTTATTCAGGCTTGTGAGGTCCACGCAAACCCTCCACTTGCCATTCTTCTTCTTGACTACCACCGTGTTGGACAGCCAGGTTGGGTAATTTACTTCTCGGATTACCTACGTCTCCAACAATTTCTCTACTTCCTCTTAAACTGCTTCTACATGGAACAAGATTGGTCGCCTGGCTCTCTGGATCACAGGTTTGGCCGACTTATCCACATTGAACCTGTGGCAGATGACTTCGAGGTTGATCCCCGGCATCTCGTATGGTGTTCAAGCGAACACCTTTATATTTTCTCTTAAGAATTCCTCCAACTTTCTTTCTTCCTCCTTAGTTAAACCTAAGCCGCGGAGAAAGAATCGCTCTTCATTCCCTTGCTATACCAAAACTTTTTTCAAAGGCTCTTGGCTCTTGTTGATGGGCTCTTTGCCGACATCATCCAAGACCTCTTGGTCTTTGTCTTTTACTTCAGCCATCTTCGCTTCCCTAATGTTGCAGGTGTACCTCATTCCAGCCATGGAGTAATTTTTTGCTTGCACTTGGTCTCCTCCCATCTCTTCAATCCCAAACTCGATTGGGAATCACAATAGTTGGTGCAAGGTTAAGGGAACAACCCTCATAGCGTATAGCCAAAGCCTTCCCAAGAAAATGTTGTATGGGGAAAAGGTGTCAACCATGATGAACTCTGTGGTTATAGTCTTTGTTCCTGCCTGAATCTCCAAATTCATGGTTCCTAGTGGCCACGTTGACATCCCATTAAATTTGACTATGGGGCTATCGGATTGCTCCAAATCATCCTTGTGAAGGTCGCGCTCTGTGTAACATCTGATGTACATGATGTCATAAGTGATGCCTTGGTCAATTACTATATGCCGTACATGGCAGTCTCTAATCTTCAAGGTCACTACTAGAGCATCGTCGTGCAGATATTGCACCATATCCAGGTCCTCGTCCGTGAACGAGATCATCGACCCCCAATGTCCCTCTATCCAGGGCTTCTTCTATTGAACTTGAAAGGCATGTTGTAAATGCCTTACTCTCTGCGTTTCTACTTAGATTTCGTTTGCATTGACTTTTGAATGGATCACAATGATAACCCGTGGTCCATCTGCCTGTGGCGCCAGGGGTGGTAGTGGTGCTGCTGCTAGTGTCTGGCTAGTTTCACCTATTCCTCTCTCGTCTTTACCTCATCTATCAAATCTCTAAGGTGACCTTCTCTAACAAGGTCCTGCAGATGTTGCTTCAAAGCCCAACACCCTTGAGTCATGTGCCCATTCTCATCATGATAGGCACAATTCTTTACCGGGTTCCTGCCCATGTATTCCCTTGGTGTCTTCTACGGTGCCCTAAAGTAGGGCTAATTCTAGATCCTTTCCAAAATCCTATAGAACGGGATCTTAAAAATTGTACTCACGACCTGCATGGCCTTTAATCCTGTTCGATTTATTGGCACTGGTATTTCCTCGACTATGCTTTGCTGAGCCTTTTCGCTTCTCTTGTTTCACTGTACTTTCCTTCTTTACTTTCATGTCTTGCTCTGCTCTTGCATACTTCTTAATCCTTACCATGAGGTTTTTTATGTTTTTTTAGGAGGGTCTTTGCGAGGAATTGCAGAACTGGGCAAACATTCTCCAAGCCGTTCTTGAAAGACATGACTGCAAGTTCTTGGTTATAAGCCAGAATCTAGTTATAAACCTCGTAGTACCTCTTGGAGTAAGCCATAAGGCTTTCACCATCGCCAATCTTCAAGGCCTATAGGGAATCAACCCTTAATGATTGCAATTTGTTCATAACAAACTTGGCCACAAACATCTCACCCAGGCCTTTCTAATTCTTGATACATCCCTTCGGCAGTTTAAGGAACTAGTCTGACACTATTTCCCCAAATGTCGATGGAAACACCTTGTATAACAACTAGTTGTTTCCACTCCACAGAGACTTTGCATTCAAATATAAACCAACATAAAAGTTCAGGTTTGACTTATCATTGTAGATTTGGAACCTTGGCATACTAAATCTCTTTGGTGCCTCGAACACATCCAACTTTACTAAGAAAGGTGTTCTCGGTTGGGAGGTGAATGTGACCTTGGCACTCTACCTCTTCTTTTGGAGGTAGTCTCGCAAGTCTTCCTTCATCCATCCAGGAGCTTGGCTGTTGGTCAATTTCAATCTCTTCAGCGTGTTGCTTCCTATGTTGGGATGTGTCCTTTTGGACTTCTCCACGTCTATTACATTGTCAAGGCAAAGGTCATACCTGTTGATCTGCCTAGACCCCCTGATCTGCGTTTCTCTGGTCGTCAGGGTTCTCTAAGATTCTTTTGTCGTGATTCTGTCCACTCGGTATTCTATGATTGTCGATGCCCTAGGTCACTTCTCATGCTATGGGACAGTTGGCACCGCAGCTTATCCCTCTTTCTGGGCACTGGCGTTTGTTATTGGGGCGGCTAGTTGCATCACTTTGTTTTGCATCATGAAGTTCACCACGGTTTGTAGGTTTGTCAATTTGTTTGCCAAGTTCTTCACCTCATTGTCTCTTCTTAGGCAGCAGTCCTTCCATACCTAGAAGTCGATCTCGTTGTAATATTCATCTTGATTGCCCTTCCTTGGGCCATTACGGCCACTGGCAGCATTGTTTGCTTCAGGATTTACTTCTTGCACTTCGTCTTCATTATTTCCTCCTCCAATGTTTGGATCTATGTACTCCTCTTCCTCATTGTGTATGTGTGGGATGCTTTTGGGGTTACCAAGGATGCCCAACAGTTCAGACTTCCAATCTCCTGATCTAGTCTCACTAGTGCAATGTGAAACAGAAAAAATGAGAGTTCAAATCTGGCAACTTTTTTAGAAAATCCATTTATTGCGAAATATGCCAGAAATGGACTATATCACCAATCTCAAAGTCGCCACCTAATCTTTTGAAAAAATTAAGAAACTCGTGACTCATGCCAAAGGCCACTGTTTGTCATAACCAAAGATGCATTGATTCAGAACCTTAGGTATGAGGGGGAAAGGTCATGAATTGAACACCCCCGCTCACTTGATCAAAAGATCAACCACTACAAAGCTATGGTATGAGTTTTATAAACATTGTATACTCATGTTATGGTTATTTTGATAATGCTAAAATCACTATGTGAGTTAAGCAATTTATAGATTATGTCACGTATTTTGGTATGCTTTGATTTTATGCATTTTGAAAGGTTTTTTTTAATAAATGTACAACTCATAGAGAAATTGAGCCCACATGCATAACAATCAACAACATTCTAACCTAAACAACACAACCTTCATCTACTGGCATTTAAGGAGGTATATCATTTAAGCACATAGCTGCACAGAAAGATGATAAACATGATGAAATAACATACATAATCGGGATGCTAAAGCTGTAAATGCTCACCTAGTACTCCTCTGTGGCAAGCCAAAAAATAATATGCTATATACATATACATGATCCTATATGTAAATACCTAATGCAATACATACACAAAATGCGACTAAAGATCTAGCTACTAACATTTGATACATGAATCATCTCAAGGCATGAGTTAGCGCACAAAGGCACATAAAAATTAATATAAAAAAAACCTACAGATGCAAATGGGCCAAATCCTAATGCATGAAAAATAGATGCAATGCATGGATATGATAAATAAAATATGATGCTATGTATATACAGAAAGCACGAAAATAAAAGTGATAGAAAGACGTGAGGTTGGAAGATTATTACAACCATTCGAATAAGAAATAAGGGGGGAGAGAGAGAGAGAGAGAGATTATTATAACACTTTGAACAAATAATAATAAAAAACAAAAGAAATGGGATTGAAGAAATTATTACAACAATGAATTAATTCAGTCAAGTTACTACTAAATCTAACAAATCATATAAAATAAATAAAAGAAATTGACAAACAGCTCCAGAACCACCAGGGGGAACACTCCCCAAAAACTGCCTGCTCTATTCTTGGAGAAGTTAGCCAGCTATACATAACAGTGTTCAGCCAAACAAGAAAAAAGGCCGGCCGAATTCATCTTTCGGCTGAGATTGAGAGCAGTGCAAGATTTCCAAAACATAAGCCACAAGACACTTTCTGAGGGGTGTTCATCCCCTTTTCCTTCTCTGCTCATAGGGATCACTTAGGGAGGGACCAATAGGCCTTAACCCTCAACAATGATACAAACAGATATATACAACATATATCTTGTAACAAGTCAACAGTTGAATGGATCAAAATAAAAAACGACTTCAAGCCTAAGAAATGGATAGGAACCTACATCTTCTCTTTGTGAATAAGGGCAAATTAATACCCAAATCCATGCTATTAAGTGAAAAGTGTAGATAAATGCAAATCATTTCTTGGTGGAAACTTTGCATATTAAAGTAAGAGACTCATCAAAAAATATTGATAACTACTCTCCTATTCAATGAAACAACGGTGTTTCCACGTTTACTTCCAAAAAAAAAAACCAATAAAAATGAAAATCACCCACTTTCTCAAAACCAAATCCCAAAAATCATCCAACTAACGCCACGAAGCAACCTCCACTACTCATTAAGATTAAGCATGGGTTGAACCATATAGGCCAACATGCTAAGACGATAAGATATATGATGAAAAAGTGTATAAAATGAAATAAACAACTCTACATAATCAAACTTGTGGATAGGTGGCTACTTTCTACTCCCTCCACATCCACAAGGTTCCAAGTATCACATATATATACAACAACAGGAAACTATGGCATTAGGAAGCAAGAAAGGAAAGAAAGACTATCAACTCAATGGATAGGTGGCTAATTTTACTCCCTTCACATCCACGAGGACTTGTTACAGGATTACAACATAGCACTAATGAAATACAGAGCTTAGAGATGAGGAAAGTGAGAAAAATTGCAAAAGTTCACCTCTTGAAGAGATGATAAGCTTTCTTGTTCAGAAAGTACCCTCAAAGTTCTTGATTAAGTCCAAGAATCCTTAGCAAGGAGCTCCAAGTGAAGGTTTAATGGTGTTTAGGTGGTGGGCATATGACGGGAGAGGTGAAGAAGTTGTAAGCTTTTGAGTTCAAGGTATAAGCTTTTGACAATGATTTTCCAACCTTTCCAAAACAAACTTCCACCCCCTTAGAAAAATTTTCCAACCTTAATTTTAGCTTTAATAGAGTTTTGGGTGATATGAAGAATCACAGAGAAAATGTAGAGGAAAGTTGAAAATGAAGTGTAGGTGTAAACAAAATTTTGTAACCCTTTGAAATGAAGAATGAGGGCCATACTTATGGACTTTTGAGGTAAATAAAATATCTGAGATATTTGTGGAAGAAGCTTAGAGTCAAAATATCTAAGATATTTGTGTAAAATTTGGAGAAAATACCGAATTTCCCGAAGCTACTCTATTTCTCGGACAAATTAGTCGGCCAGACCAAAAAGTGTCCGGCTAGACAAAAAAGTGTTTGGCCAGACAAAAAATCGTTTGGCCATACAGGTTTTTAGAAGTGGAAAGCAGGGTTTTTTTTCTAGAAAATTCTCATTTCTTCCACTCATTTACACTTTGTCTTTGCTCAATTTATCAAGAAAATATAACCCTTGAATTTTGAAAATACGAGCCTCGAACTTTGTAGAAATGTTTGAAGCCACACAAAAAAACTTATTTTGAAAAAGATTTAAAAGGGTCTAATATAGTTTGGCCAAAACGGGTATAAGGTTGGGATTAAAGCTTGAACCTGACTCTCCTGCTGAGAAATTCGTAAGATAGCACATTCCAACTTTCATCATTGGGTGTTTGGAAAAGAGTGCCCAAGTCTTAAGGCCGATCAAAATGGGGTGTCTACATTTGCGCCATTTTGAAAGAGCTCAATGCATCATTTCATGAAGCATGAAGTGAGTGAATGTCAAATCCCGAAGACAACCCTTTTGACGAGGCTATAAGACTTGGGCAAACAAACAGAATGCAAATGTAATTGGCTGAACC